CCTGGGCAGCCGCCCCAGCTGACAGGCCGCGCTGGGGGTACCCCCGGGGGTCGTGCCTGTTGGTCCCAGAACTAGGCGCAGATCCTGGGGGCGCAGGGCCGGACTGTGATGATCCCGGGAAAGGGTCAGTGGCCTTCCAAAGCGTTTTTAGAAAGCAAATCGCACTCTGCCAATAGGTAGTAGCAGAGCTGCTGCCTTCCTCCATTCACCCCTCTTCTTCCCTTCCTGCTGTCGGCTGCCTTCCATTTACCTCCAACCAGACTCTGGGGCTTATGTGTTTGTCCACCCCCTACCACCATAGGGCCCCGCTCTCGTGTGCTTCTGAAACACAAAAAATGCACCTTTCGCGTCATAGCAGTGCCGTTGGCCCAGTCTTGCTGATGTGCCCATGCTTATCTTAAAGCGCCTGAGTCCTCCCAATGAGTGTTCAGCACAAAAGCAAGTCAAAGAGGGAAGGCTTAGTTTTGTGTCTTGACAAGCGGAACGTAATTCTTCTTCCATTGCCTGGGATCTACGGGCTCAGCGACTGGTTTGAATGTGGGTCTGGAAGCTCTGTTCTCGGTAGGGCATGGGACAGTTCCTTTAGAAGTCTTTGAGCCTCAGTTTTCTTATCTGTAAAATGAGAGAATATTTGCTGCCTTCATAGGAGGGCTGCAGTCTTTACAAAGTGTTACTTACACGTTCAATATTATCACTGGGGAGCCAGTGCCGTCTCTTTCCTCGTACCATTGAAATGTAGAGTTCTGCAGCATAATTGCTGAAATCAGAAACTGGAACATGTGACCCTCTCTATGTAGGCCTTCAGTAGCCTTGGTGATCATCTGCATCTTTGTTTTATGTCTTTATTTAGCTGTTGGAAAGAGAGCATCTGTCCCAGGCTCTTTAGTCCTGGACATAAAACAAAATCCACTAGCCAGCTGAGCCTTATTTTTATGGAGGACCAGGAATTACTTGTATAATAAAACCCATCTCATCCCTGTGGCTGCACGTTTCTCTCGAAGAGGGTGTTGGTGATTGATACTTGCTGGGGACTTGAGTAGAAGTTGGTGGTGGATCAAAAACATGTTTGACAACATGCATTCTTTCCACCCCCACACAACGGTTCTTGATGTTCATGCTGGTAAAAGTTAAAAATAATTGAATGTGGGGGAGGCCAGTGCAGCACATATTTTCTTTCCTTGGTGTTGCTGCTTAAATTCTTTTAGTATAAAACAGGAGCTTTCTCTTTTGTAAGCTTTCTCTCCTCCTCTTCCTTGATTCATTCACTGGGTGCCAATCCCATGTTTGTGCTGACATTCAAGCGTTAGGCAGTAACTGAGTAGAAAAAAGGTAACTTCTTGGTTGTGCGGCCAAAAGAAGGAAATACATGGATACTAGAACTGCTGGGTGTGGTTTTGATAACTTTCTCTGCTTATTGACATCAGGAGACTTGTTTCTTATAAGGGAGCTGCAGTCCTGTCAAAAACTAAACAGAACTTGGTTGAAAAACAAGCTATACAAAAAAGTGAGTTTTGAAAGGGGGGCTGTTTAGATGGGTCCCATCCACAACTTGACCTCCTTGCTTGTTTGCAGGTGTTTGAAAATCCTGTCATGCTCATTTCTCTCCTTCAGAGACTTCAGAACATAATGTGCTAAACTGAGCACTCTGGAGTAGCTCTCCAGTAGCAAACAAGTGTGCATGAGCAGGGGGCAGGAAACACCTCTGGTGTCAAATGTTCAATGGGCTACTGTAAACTTCAGTCAGTGAAATCACGGTAGGAAAATGAACAGATTTCTCCATTAGGCCAGTTTCAGATCCCCCTCCCCCCATAAAAAAAATCCCATCCTGACTGACTTAATATGAATTGAATACAGTTCAAATCAAAAGGGCCTTATAATGGATTGTGAGAGGGGTTTTGACTGAAGCTGCAAAAACAGGATCCTGTTGGAAAAGTTTCTGAAGGCAGGCTGGATCTCAAACAAAACCTTCACACATACAGAAGGATTTTGCTGCCAAAGTGTATGGAAATCAGCTGATTCTCAGCTGCCTGCCTTTTCCCAAATATAGCATAGTGCTGGCAAGGAACCCACTGAAAATATGGCTGTGCTGGAATCTGCTCTAAGGAAAGATTTCTGTATCCTGTATCTGTTCAGTCCATGCGTTATGTGTCGTCCTTTTCCCCGCCTCGTGTCCTTAAAGATCAAATGTCTTACGAAGGCATCATTGTGTATTTGCTGGATAGTGCTTAGCCCTGACATTTCACTTTACAAATATTAATTTGACCAGTCCTAGCAACACGGGGAGGGGGAGGGGGGGCGGCTATGATCTGTATGAAAATGGAGTATAATTCTAATGTAAATAAGGTCCCCTGAGTGCATAGGGCAGCATGGGGAAATTTTCAGTTAGGTGGTATTTCTAGGTACCGATTTGGTGGGGCAAGCTCAACCGAACAATACTAGAGTCTAGTTGCCAGCCAGTAGGAACACAGACTGCGCCCCAGTCTTGTAAAACTTTTGACCTCTCAGCTGGAAGCTGAGCCATCCAGGCCATGAAGGCAAACAGTTGTAAGTGACTTTGAATAGTAACTACTGCATCCGGTGCAGTGGCAGTTCTGTTGACACCATGTTTGAATTGAAGGACAAGAAAGTCCTGGTAGCATTAGCGATTGCAATAGGCACTACAGTTCTGCAGATGCAAGCAGAGAGATCTCGCAGGGGGCTGGGAAGGAACTTCAGAGCTGGTAGAAGGGAGGAGGCGCAGTGAAAGTGCCTCTGTTCTGCCTGGCCATTGGTCAAGATGATGGGTTCTATATAATCTGGCCCTGAAGAAACAGAGTGAATCATCTCTTAGGCCTCTCCCATCTCTAGACAGAGTGACCCAATGTGTGTGTTCAATCAGTTGTCTTATATAGTCTTTGCATTGTGAGCTAAGTCAGTCTGTGCCTTCCTTTTGCATGCTGGCCAGTAGCTGGAAGCCTAACCCTTTGGGTGGTGTGCCTCTTGCAGACTATAATTCTAAGAAGCAAAGGAAAGTAGCGGAGATTTATCAGGCCCTGAACAGCGACCCTATTGATGTGGCTGCACTCAGACGAATGGCAATCAGCGAAGGGGGTCTCCTGACAGACGAGATTCGTTGCAAAGTGTGGCCAAATCTTCTCAATGTGAAGACAGAGGATCTGCCGCCTCCGCCAGGTACAGAGTCACCCTTTGTGCTTTGGGACCAACTTGAGAGATCTTTGTACGTACTTGGGGCTGGAGTTCTGCTGTTTGTAACTTGTGGGGTTTTTCCTGTCAACGAAGATGCCTTTTCCATGATGCTTGCTTGAGAGTCACAATTGCACAGACTGATGCCCGTGGTTTTACCTGTGTTAACGTATTTAATTATGCTAATAGCAGATCCAGGAATTATCTGAATTTATTATTTTTCCATTGCACTGTAAGAGCCCTTTTACTTTTAGGCCACATTGTGTGGAACACAGCTGGTGCAATCCGGTGTGATTAGCTTCCAAAATGCATGTTAGTTAAACCAAAAAAATGCCACGTTGCAAATATATCTAGTTTAACTTCCATTGTCATAAATGGGAGCGTGGTTTCTTGAATACTAAATGGAAGTTCCTCTCCCAGGCATGGGTGAAGCAGTGGCCAAATTACTGTAAATTGAAGCTTGTACATAGAAGAAGTCACATCTGAGGGAAGGAAAACTTGCTTTTTAATGAGACACAGACATGGAGGCTGTATTCCCTGTAAGCTGAGTGCCTGAGTAGTCACCCAAGAAAGATTCAGATGCCGCCCAGCTGATTAGCAGAACGCCCACAGCCGAACCATGTGTTTCTAATGGTGGTGCACAGTTGCACCTGCCTTGGTGCACAGAACAAAATTTATTCCACGCAGGAATGGAAAAAAGAGGGAACACTGAATGGAGGCGTTCCATATGTGGTGTTTTTTATTTCCACTGCTCCCAGAGCATAAGATGGGTTTTTGTGAGCAGAAGTATCTGTTCAAAAGTGTGTATATTCCTGGTTGTCCTTGGATAGCTATGGTTGCTGTAAAAATGCAGATCAGGAGACCTGGGATTTATGTTCAGCTCCACGCAGCTGCTTGCATGGCTTATGGCATGCTAATGATTTCTTTCCACTTACAGTGCTTTAAATATCTTAACTACCCATGCTTCATTTCACTCAGTTTCTATTTATTAAACGTGTGAGTTGCGGCTGCTCTGTGTCATGTCTTAGCTATATTTTGCCTAACTCCAGTGGCATGGTGATGGAGCAAGAACTTAGCCGAAGGACAAAGGAGAGATGATGTAAGGATCTTGAAACGGTATTTGTACCAAAGAGATTAATGTCTTGGTGTCTGGCTCTGGAACGGCGTACGTTGGTGTTGGTATTGGCCACGCCAGAGTGTACAGCAGTAAAAGGCAGAGCGCTGGGCTTGTGTGCAACAAGTGGAAACGGGGATCTAAAATTGGGTTCAGGAGCAGTTGCGGCCTACGTTTCAGCCTTGACTTGTACAGCGTTCTTCTCTGGCACTGCAGATGCTGCTTGGTGGCCTGCTTGGATTTGCAGTGTGCTTCTTTCTCCATCAGGGAAGGAGCTGCGAGAGGACAATGAAGACTACCAGCAGGTGCTGCTGGACGTGAGGCGATCCCTGCGCCGCTTCCCACCCGGTGAGCTGGTCTCTCTGTTCTGTGGCCACCAGGAGCACCTTGTCCCCCCAGCTCCGTGCAGTGCAGCCTCTCTTCTAGGGCCACAGCAGAGCTGTAGGAGCAACCCTCCAGGGGCCCGCCGAAATGGAAAGGCCTTTCCCCTCTGTTTGCCCAACACCCACTTCAGAGATGGCCTCAGGCTTCTCCTTGCACTGCAGCTGGTTTTCAGCATGTTCTTTCCACACAAAATTCTCATCCGTAACTCGCTGATTCATTCTGCCGGCCCCTCTCTTGCCGTTAAAACTCTCCCTGTATTTAGAGGGGCCTGACTCAGATATAGCCAGCCCTGCCATGTGCTGCTGTTCATTCGATGTGACAGTCATGTCTGGTGTTTGAGGGGTTTACCATTGCCTCTGTGTACCTTGGGCAGAGACACATCTGGATTTGAAACCTGCGTTCGCTACTGATTTAAATGGATTTTGTTTTTTAAGCGTTGCTAAAGTGTGTTCTTTCCAGTGACTCTCATGCATCAGCCTAAAACAACTCTCAACATTTAATGACAAAAGCTTCTTGCATTTGCTTAGTTCCTGTGGTTGGCTAGTGCCTGGTGTTATTTATAGACCCTTTTGCACTCGTCTGACTTTGCAGAGCAGCTGCTTGTTGCTCCTGGGCAGGAATTGGTTTTCACTGCCTGCTTTTTTCTTCCATATAAACAGTCAGCACGTTCAGCTTATCTGTATATTGTGGATACCCTGCAGATCTCTGCAGCTCACGCTTCTGCTAGCACCCTATTGCTCTGGAATGGCCGTATTTTGACAATGCTTAGAGATCTTTGTGTTGTCTGAACCTTGCTTGGGCTTGCGAGATGCTCGTTCCGCCGTGGGGCACCGTATCTACTTATACAGGTCCTGGCCAAAGGGGGTGTGTGTGCTGTTTTCTCTACATGTGGTGTTCTGTTCCACAGATGCATTCTGTCCACACACAGACCCCTGTCTAGAGGTGGGCAGGGCAGTGGCGCCTGTGAGTTTTGCACACTCAACAGAGTTTTCACAAAAGAGGATTGTTTTATTTCTTAGGACTTCTGGGATACTAAAAATAATTAATTTAACCTAGGGATGTGAACGACTAGTCACTTTCCCTGTCTTGCTGCCTCTCTCAGAAGGAGGCAGCCAAAGTGGCAGCGCTGTGTGGAGCCCGGGGTCAGCTGGGGACTTCCTAGCTGATCCCAGGCTCCACGGGGTGCTGCCACTTTGAAATGCCACGAGGAGCTTGACGCCAAGCTCCCCGCGGCGTTTCAAAGTGGCAGCGCTGCATGGAGCCCGGGGGAATCCCCAGCTGACCTCAGGCTATGTGGCACTTTTGCCTTTGAAGTGCAGCAACTTCAGACGCCCTATCGACTAATTGAATAGTTGATGCAAAATGCATTGACTATTTGTTTAGTCAGTTACTCGCAATTTAACATCTTTAATTCAACCTTCAGGATGCTTTACGAACACTAGTAAATACCCCCTTTTTCTTGCAAAGGGAATATTAATGTTCCCATTGTGCAGGTGGAGAAACTGCTGCACAAAAGGTTAAGCAACTCTGCAAAGGCCATTGGGGAGCGGGAGGTCCCGGAACAAGGATGAGAACCCACGAGTTGCTGGTCTCTAGCCCCATGCGCAGGCCACACTCAGATAGGGCCAGTTGATAGCTGTCAGGCCCTGGAGATTGCAGCGTGTCTGCATCCAACGGCTGGTGAGACGTGGCTCCTGTGGGCGGATGATGCAGTACGTGGCAGGCAGCTTGTCAGGGCTCCGGCTCAGCCTGATGCAAGGCCCATCTGCTGCTGTCCCCACAGGGATGCCAGATGAGCAGAGGGAAGGGCTCCAGGAAGAGCTGATCGACATCATCCTGCAGGTGTTACAGCGCAACCCGCAGCTGCACTACTACCAGGGCTACCACGACATCGTGGTCACGTTCCTGCTGGTCGTGGGGGAGAGGCTGGCGACGGCTCTCGTGGAAAAGCTTTCGACTCACCACCTCAGGTACGTCAGCGCGGCTCCTGCAAAGCGAGGGGACGAGGGGCTGCCTGCGCCTTCGCTGTCAGTCGCCGCCTGTGGCAGAGAAGCCTTTCCTGCCATTTACACGGGGACTGGAGGGAGAGTGACGACCCTAGAGCCTGAGAAGCAAAGCATGCGCAGCCTGGCTGCTTTTAGCCAACAGTGGTAACAAGGCAAGAGATGCAGGAAAGTGCAGGAGCAGCAGCCTGAATAGCTCTTGGCTTCAGAGCCCTGCCGGGGGGAAGCCGACCTGAATGCACTGTGGGCAAACCCCCCTGTCATAGCCCTCCTGTGGCCACCCCCTCCACGTCACTCCCACGGCTTCCCCCAGGGCGGCCTAACACAGTGATCACTTTTCATGCGGTGCAATGGGCTGACCTGGACCGGCTCAGTGGTGAGTTTGGCCTGCGAAGGGGGGCAGATCAGAGTCGGGGCGATGGTGTGGCTGCTGGGCTGGAAGCGGCCTCGGCAGTGCGACTGGTTTTGAAGGGAGTCTCCTCACTCTCCGCTCAGGTGCGTGACGTAGCCAAAGACAGGAATAAATCCAGACCTGTAATTTCAGTGCAAGCTTGTGGCTCTGCCATGTAGCTGGTCCTGCTTGTGATCACTGGTGTTGCGGGAGAGAGGCAGGGTGGAATGCAACAAGGAGAGCACCGTGAGATGCAGCTGTAGGGACACACGCACGCACCTTGCTCAGGCGGGTTGCAGGTGTGTTAACTTGTGGCTTGCTCTGTGCGTCGTGCGCTCGCGGTGGCCAAGGGGAGCGGAATGGCCCGGTCGCCTGATGGGGCTTTTGTCCGTCTTCTGACAGGGATTTTATGGACCCAACAATGGACAACACCAAGCACATTTTAAATTACCTGATGCCCATTATAGACCAGGTGAACCCTGAGCTCCACGACTTCATGGAAAGGTACCTTGAGAGTCACCAAACCTTTCCCTGTCTCGGGGGGCGCCTGGCCGGCGAGCTGTTCGCACGGTGTTATCCCCCGGCGCGGTGTTATCCCCCGGCGCGGTGTTATCCCCCGGCGCGGTGTTATCCCCCGGCACGGTGTTATCCCCAGGCGCGGTGTGGCCCCGCTGGGGAAGGACCCGCACAGCATCCTGGTGCTTTTCTCAAAACGGAGCTGAGGCCCCACCCGTGAGCAGTGGGGGAAACCCTGGTGGCCACTGTTTTCTGGCAGCCCCCTGCTTTTGGAGGCCTCCACACTGCGTCTGGAGGCCTGGCTGCTTAGCTGTGCCTGCAGGCCAAATGAATAGCAGGTGGGGGGGCCAGGTAGTCTGTCCTGACGGCCTCGCGTGGGGTGTTGAGACCTCTGCGCCCAGGGCCTTTGCAGCGTGTCATTGGCTCTGAGGATCCCGGGGGCGTCTTTTGGGAACGGTGCAGGGTTGAAAGCGGGGGAAGGCGGGGACCCATCCAGAGAAAGCAGCAGGGGTGTCTAGTGCCCGCTAGCCATGTGGCTGTGCTGTCCAGTGTGCTAGCAGTGTCTCCGGAGTGGGGAGGCTGGCGGCAGACTCCCAGAGGCGGGAAGGTTTGTGCCACGCACTGTGCAGGGTGCTGTACGCTCCCTCTTAACCCCCTCCTGGAGAAGGAGCTTTGGGAAGGGGCCGTATGCCTGAACGAGGTGGGAATCCAAGCCCTCGTGTGACACGCCGAGATGCACCCGGGCGAATGTGGGGCAGCAGCGGCCTTTCCGTGATGGGCGGGTCTGTCTTTCGGGGGAAGTGGGGCCATAACCTCTCATCAGTGATAGTCAGTGGCCTGCCCTTACCAGAAGTGGAGGACGCCCTGGCATTAAGGGGACGCCAGAAGGTGTTTTGATCTGCACTGGAGGGGGATCCCTAGGGTCTGGCGACGGAGCTGCTGACTAAGTGTCTTCTGATTGCACAGTGCCGAAGTGGGGACCATCTTTGCACTCAGCTGGCTGATCACCTGGTTTGGGCATGTCCTGGCCGACTTCCGACACGTGGTGCGATTGTACGACTTCTTCCTGGCGTGCCACCCGCTGATGCCCATTTACTTCGCTGCCGTGGTAAGTAGCTGCTGTTGTGCCTGCGGAAATGAATGAAACCTGCAGGGCCCGTTACCGCTTCCCAGATGGGGCTAGTGAATTCAGCTTGGGCGTCCGACCCTGCTCCCTCTGCAGCAATGTTCCCCAAATGGTTTCGAGGGAACCCCGGGGTTCCATGAAGTGAAAAGAAGGGTTCCGCGAGAAAATTCCATTGCAATCACATTTTATGATTTTTAAAAAAATAATGATATTTGAGCATTTGTGAATTTTATTGAAAACTATTGTCGTCTGCGTTGGCCACGATAAGCGTCCGGTGTAATGCCAGCCTCGCCAGAGAGTGGGGCCGATGACGCCACGTGCGTGCGCAGCCAGTGGTGCGATCACCTGTTCAATCCCCCGTAGATCCCCGGACTCTCTCTCCGGGAGCGTGGGTCACGTGGGTGACTGAATACGAGTAGACTAGCGCCGCGTCGGACAAAGTCGAGGCTTCGCCTGTCAAACCAGTTGCTCTTCTTAGGGGTTCCACAAAATTCTTCCAAGTTTAAAAGGGTTCGGTGGCCAAATACAATTGGGAAACTCTGCTCTAGAGGGCTGGGGGCACCCGAGGCCCTTGGTGGGGGGGTGTTTAGTGAATTCAGCGCCCCCCCTGGGCCCACTGCCCTGATCTCTGAACACCGCAGCGGATCTCCTTCCTGCTGGTCCCACAGGGGCCGTCACCATGGCTGCACTGCATGGCTAGGAGGGAAGCCGGACTTCCAGCAAGCTCAGCCCCAGGGTTTCATGCGACAGCAAGGAGTGAATGCATGGGGCAGAGCCCCGGTGCGGTACCGTCTGCAGCTCCTTTCCGGGGCACTGCCCCACGGCAGCATGCACTGGGGACTTCCCCCGGCTCCGGCAGGGGCAGGCTTCTGTCTTGTGGCCTTGCGCCGTTTGTCCAAGTGCCGCCGACACGCGGATCGAACCGGACAGGCCCCGGGGCGCTCAGCTGCTCCTTCCCTTTGCAGATCGTGCTGTACCGGGAGCGGGAGGTTCTGGACTGCGAATGCGACATGGCCTCCGTCCACCATCTCCTGTCCCAGATCCCACAGGACCTGCCCTACGAGACCCTGATTAGCAGAGCGGGGGATCTCTTTGTCCAGTTTCCACCCTCGGAGCTGGCCAGGAAGGCAGCGCAGCAGCGTGCCGAGAGGTGAGCGCTGGCGGCGGGGGGGTTTGGTGCCCGGCGGGAAGCCCGGGGTCTGGCTCAGAAGGCGCTCGCAGGAGCGGAGTAGGACTAGGGCGAGAGGGGTGCTTTGAATCCTCGGGCCTCTGCGGTGGGCAGCCCGAATGGCCCCTTTCACCTGCTCCCCCCTCTGTAAAACAAAAACAAGTCGAGGGTTTGAGCCCCGCCCTCAAGCAACATGGACCTGGCACCCTTGGAGAGCTAAGGAGGGATAAGGGGGGCCCAGATCATAGGGAGGTTGGGGGCTCCTCCAGTGGCACAGTGGACAAGGTACCTGCCTTCGGAGCCAGAGGCCAAGGGTTCAAGCCCCACCCCCAAGGAACATCAGGGTCCACCTTTTCCTCTTGCACACAAACACCCTGGCAGCTCCCCCTGTGCTGCCTGTCCTGGGGGCTGGGATTCCTCAGCTCCAGAGGCAGAAGCCACAGGCCCCCACACAATCACAGCCCCGTAGCACTCGGTCGTACGCGCAGGCAGAGCCTTGTGCCAGTGTGCTCTGTGGTGACACCCCAGGGGGCTGGTGCCCACAACCCCAGCAGCACTGTGCACAGGGACTGAGCCCTTCGCGGTGGCTGTTGTGGATGCCTGCTCAAAGGCCGCACTGCCCCAGGGAGCCGCTCTCCATGCCCAAGGTCTCTCCCAGGCTGTCTGGACCAGAGTCCACCCTTCGCAGCCACTTGCCCTGTGGTGCTGGCCGTGGCCGGGGGCAGCTGTTGCGACCTGCATTTCTCTTTGCACTTCGGTCCGTTGCTGTCAGGACAGCATGGGGCGGCAGGACTCCCCGTCAGCCAGCGGGAGGAGGATGCCGAGGAACGCGCCCGCCGCTCGGAGCAGCGTCCGGCCTGCTGAAGGGGGCCTGGGCGCAGCCGCATCTAATCAGCTCCCCACCTGTCTTCTGTCTCCCTCGCAGGACGGCCGCGTCCACCTTTAAAGACTTTGAGCTGGCCTCCGCCCAGCAGAGGCCGGACACTGTGCTGCGGCAGCGCTTCCGGGACCGGCTCCGAGGGGAGGAGCGGACAAAAGCCATCTTGACCAAACCCAGGACCAACCGCTTTGTCAAGCTGGCCGTGATGGGGCTGACGGTGGCGCTGGGCGCGGCTGCGCTTGCCGTGGTGAAGAGCGCCCTCGAGTGGGCACCCAAGTTTGAACTGCAGATTTTCCCCTGAAGGAGGGAGAAGGGTGCCCTGCCGCCGGAAACGTCACCTCCTGCCGTGGCCAGAGAGGACGGGTTTCCTTCACCGAGGGGGAGTGTTTTCTAGTCCTGCTGCCCTCCAGAACCCGGCTGGCCCTCGTCCCCGAGGCAGGGCAGGGGGACTGGCCCAGCAGCGGTGCTCCCCTTGTTCTCGCCTCCCTGGGCAGCAAGGAGATGCCTGCCCCCATTCTGAGGAGTTGGAAGCCAACACTTCCTGAGCTGGCTCTGCCTGGACCAGCCTGGCCGCTCGGGTCCCCCCCCAGCAACCAGCAGCCTGCAGAGCTG